AGTTACTTTAAGACAGTAGTGTGGGTTTTTTTGTTTGTCTTTAAAAGTACTACAGAGGGAAGAGAGAAAGGCAAATCACAGCCCGCAAATGAGCTGTCCTGACTCCCTCCAGATGGCTCATTTTCCCTATCCCCATCCTATGATCTACAAACCCTGATAAGGCTTCTGTAATCTGGCACCATCGTAACGTGTTTCTTCTTGAAGTGCTTTAAAGATCCCCACTGCTTACAGAAAATAATCCTAACTCAGACCACATTCGAAGTCCCAAATCTTACTTTTGGGTGTAACAGATTTTTGTTTTTCCTACACTAAGGCTGCTGGATCAGAAATAATCAAAGTCTGATATACTGCACATAAGTAACAAATGCAGGAAATGGGTACAGTGAAGGGCTGCGTTGAAGGGAGAAGTCTGAGGAATATAGCCTGTTAATTCACTCTCAAACAGCTTGAAAGAGGTTCAAGTAAAGATAAATGTGTGAACTGTAATAAAAAGAAAAATCGGCAAAAGAAGGCTCTTTCTATTTTAATCATGCCAGAATCAGATCAGTCCTGAGGCCTCAGCTTTTGAGAATTAGGGTGCATCCCTGTGGTAATGACTCAGTACTATGATTCATAAAATTGCAGAAAATGAAGAAGTTCTGGGATGTAGATGGCTCAAAAGCTCTCTGCAGAACCACAAAAAGAATTTAAATGAAGTTCAGTAAGTAAGCAATGCTTTAAGGAAAAGAAAAGTATTAATGTGTAACAAAATTAGTGGAATTATGAATATATAAAGACTGACTTCAATTTTTGAAGGTCTCTCACCAGACATTAAGAAGAACAGTTAATACAGTCACTGAAATGTTGAAGTATTTGTTTAAACTGATATATGTCACTTGGCTGTAATAGCCAAGCTTTCCAATTACAATTTTGCAACATTTCATGAAAAGTCCTATTTTAAATACTAAATGTTTGCATTAAAAATCAGAACTGTCAAAGGAGGAAAAAGGCAACATAAAAACATTTATCAATGATACATGTGAATAATCTTACAGTAATCTTTAAGTACAAGGGAATCCCCCTCACCTTTCCTGGGTAGCAGCTGGAGTCTCTACTGGATAACAAAATAGAACTGAGGTCTGACAGCCATCCTTGGCAAACTAACTTACTATTGCTCCTGTAAGCTAAAAACTGTCCTCCCTCAACTCAGAAAAATGATTTAGTTATTTTCTGTGATATCACTGAAGATAAAAAGTGGTCAACTTACCTAGTAAAATACTGTACTGACATAATTTATCAATCTTCTATTTTAATCAGTGGAATACTTTAAAGTTATATATTCAAAGACATCTATAATTATGCAAGAATAAGGGACACCGAGGTGAGATTAAAAACTAGTCTAGGCCAGGCGTGGTGGCTCACGTCTATAATCTCAGCACTTTGGGTGGCTGAGGTGGACGGATCCCCTGACGTCAGGAGTTCCAGACCAGCCTGGCCAACATGGTGAAACCTCGTCTCTACTGAAAATACAAGAAAAGTAGCCAGACGTGGTGGCATGCACCTGCAATCCCAGCTACTCGGGAGGCTGAGGCACAAGAATCGCTTGAACCAGGGAGGCAGTGGTTGCAGTGAGCCAAGATCGTGTTACTGCACTCCAGCCTGGGTGACAGAGCAAGCCTGTCTTTAAAAAAAAAAAAAAAACAAAAAAAAACAAAAAAAACTAGCCTAAACAAAATAAATCAACCAGTACCTAGCTAAATAAAATAAGTTCAATCCAAAGTTGGCAGCTTTCCAGAAAAGCATGAGTAAAGTTTTTGGTTTCTATGATAGCAAATAACAAATTACTTATGCTTCATACAAATATCTTTGTTTAAAAAATACTCTTTCTCTTAAAAAACACGTTAATTGCCAGATTGAAATAAAATCACTGCTTAACACACATGGTTAAGTGAATTACTGGTTTCAATACTGAAACGTGAAATCTCATCAATGGGTTTTGTAACATTTCCCAAAACACTGAATATCATCTATGATTATAATTATCTGTGCATTTCTTTTGCATAGTAAGAATTTTATTTTGTTTGTATTTTATTCAGCATAATATCTCCCCAAAAAGGGAAGTCACTTGGTCTATAAAGGAAGAGGGGAAGTCATGTTGAGCAAGAGCCATCTGGAATAGGCAGTCTGTGGCTTTGTGAATCTCAGGCTTGCATCCTATAGTCAGTGGTGTGCAAATCAAACACTCACAAATAATACTGATACTCTCTTTTACAATCTTCCTTATCTAAAGTATGCCACATCACAGTAAATATTTCATAATAAAAATGAGAATTTTCTAGACAAAAAAAGAAAATGTTCCTTAAGTTCAAAACAAGCACCAACACTTATGGTATAGAACATAGGAAAACTGGCTATGATTCATGAATATTAATTATTTTAAATAAACACAGTCATCTAATTATGGTAAAATAATAATAAAGAACAAGGTTAATATGAAGATTTATCAGATTTTTTTGTCATAGAAGGTTGGTAACTTTGGCTGAATCAATGACTGTAAAAGGCTCAGAAATGTTTATTATTAGCAGGGTTCTTCAAAATGCTACATCATCTTTGAATTATATTCCAAACACACTGTAACTCTATTCACGCTTCTGAAACAAGGAATTTTTTTTTTGCCAAGAATTTTATTTTAAACGTCTGATTCCTTTTAAAAACTAAAAACAGGTTTTTAATTTTTTTAATTTAATTAAATTAACTAAATTAACCCACTACCTGTTAAACATGTGTACTGGAAAAGACTATGATCTTAACATACAATTTTAGATTTTAAAAAGACTACAAAGAGATGAAAAATGCAGCCTCCAATTCTAACTCACTGAATGTCACACAATGAAACTTTCTGAGGAGACAGCAAGCACTAAAAGTCAGGAGTCTAAAAAAAGAATAAAGAAAGAAAATGGAATGTGTTTTAAAAAACTGAGTCACATAAGAGTTACTAAAGAAGGGGACAAATATTGAGAGTAAAAGAATTAATAGTAACTAACACAATGAAGGCATATATAATAAGGTACTTCAATATTTGAATGCTTTTGGAAAATACTTAAAACAGAACTCAAAACCATTACTGCTAAGTGAAACAAATATGCCATGGAAGAAATAGTACATCCTTAGGCAGCTCTCATGATCAAAGCAATGAGCTCCTTCTTTGCTGTTCTCAGGTTGGTTAAGTCTGCCTCAGTCACGCAGCAGTACTAACTGCGTGAGCCTAGACTTGGGAGAGTCTGGCACCTGTGTCCCAGAGAATCAGTCTAATCCCAGGATGGCCCTAAGCCACCACAAGTCTCAAGAATACCAGACGGATAGCTCAGGCGTTTTTGAAGACTTCACAGCAGGGTTTAGTTCCGTGGTCCTAAAGCCAAATCAGGTATCTGGGCAGATGTGAAAATTTTTAGGGAGGAGAAAACAAAGTGACTTGGAGCCCCAGAATCTTGGCTGCAAGCATATCAGCCGTGGGGAACGAAGGCATAGTTTTAAGCAAAGAATGAACACAGAAAAGGAATAATAAAGAGAGCTTAAAGGAAGAAGAGGGGTAAGCAGGCACACAGGATGACACACTGGCCCCAAATACCAGTCATTCACCCAAGAAACAAGGATAGTGATAATTTACTTGAAATGTATGTAGTCCTTGCAGTGAAATGTGTATTATTATGAATCCATTCTGTCATTTTTAGTCTTTTCCAAGAAAGAAATTAAAACTATGCTCTATAACCCCTAGTTAAAATTTATTTTTATAAATCTGGAGGTTCAAATTTAAGTCATGGATGAAGAATAAAACTCCATTTCATGCTCTAATTTCTTTTTAAATACCTCATAGAGAATTTAGGACAAATGCTTATTATTAAAATAAAGTACAATAGCATGGGCAAGATGAAAAAATTCCAGCACACATACTGAGGCTGCTTGGTTCATTCCCTTCTTCCATGATGAGTCTTTGGGTCAGGGCCAATCCACCTGACTTTCCAGTTGCCATTTTTTCTCCCTTGTGTGACAATATCTTTTTACAAAATGAGCAGACTATCTCTCCCTATTTTTCATAAGTCCAACTTCTTCACATTCAGGCTTTTTTTCTTTTTCTATGATTTAAAAACGATAACACTGACAAGAAATCCAGCTAAAACTTTCATCAAAATTACCTTGAAAGCACAAACTGGCCTCCCTTGTCTCAATTTTCCATGTGACTGGCTTTTTTTTTTTTTTTTTTTTTTTTTTGAGACGGAGTCTCGCTCAGTCGCCCAGACTGGAGAGCAGTGGCGCCACCTCGGCTCACTGCAAGCTCGCTCTGCCTCTCAGGTTCACGCCATTCTCCTGCCTCAGCCTGCTGAGTAGCTGGGACTATAGGCGCCCGCCACCGCGCCCGGCTAATTTTTTTGTATTTTTAGCAGAGATGGGGTTTCATCATGTCAGCCAGGATGGTCTCCACCTCCTGACCTCGTGATCCACCCGCCTCGGCCTCCCAAAGTGCTGGGAATACAGGCGTGAGCCAACGTGCCCGGCCGTGACTGGCCCTTTTTAATCACTACAGAAGTAGCATTGAGCCAGACCTGCCATGGTTAAACGAATGTTGAGAGCCGGGTGCAGTGGCTCATGCCTGTAATCCCAGCACTTTGGGAGGCTGAGGCGGCAGATCACCTGAGGTCAGGAGTTCGAGACCAGCCTGACCAACATGGAGAAACCCCATCTCTACTAAAAATGCAAAATTAGCCGGGCGTGGTGGCGCATGCCTGTAATCCCAGCTACTCAGTCTCCTGCGGCAGGAGAATCACTTGAACCCAGGAGGCAGACGTTGTGGTCAGCTGAGACTGCACCATTGCACTCCAGCTTGGGCAACAAGAGCGAAATTCTGTCTCAAAAAAAAGAATGGTGAGACAGTTGAATATGACGCACCATCTAAATGGGACAATGTTCCTAATGTTTTTACAGGAGAGAGAGAGAATTGGGTATAAAAAGGTAGTCACACTTACAAGTCCACTTATGGCTACAATCCAGATGTAGGAACCAGAGGTGAAAAGCTATAAAAGAAAAAAAAAAAAGGCAACTAAAAATAAAATTCAACTGCCAGTCACAGCACACTTATTTTTACATAACTACAGTCATGACCATTTATATAAAGTATTAACTATATATGCCATAATACAGAGAAGCAAATGGAAAATTAGTAAATATCAAGAGTTATTTAAAAGAAAATTATATATTAATTTTTTTTATTCAGACATCAGACTTTGTATAGCCTAAAATAAGTTGAACCTGGCCCACACCCCATGCAAAGAAAAATAAGTGAAACCAAAGTATGATGTTATTTATAAACTTCAACTGACTTAAAGTAAAATACTACATATAAAGAAATTATTAGAATTAACAATATACAAAACAGGTAATCACCATCCCATGCTTGGCAATGATGTGATATTTATGTAAATAACTTTCTCATTTTAATTTCTTAACATTGTTACCCTAAATTTAGATGGGAAGAACCCTCCAGCCTACTTAGGTCTATATTCAACGGTAACTTTCTCAAGTGTTGATATTCTCAATCTAGTTCACCCAAGGAAGAGCAAACTAAATCACAGTAATGAAGTTAATTAATGGCAAAAGTAATTAGAATTAGATCTCATGAAATTCTTCCCTTTGTTTTCCAAATAGTTTATATCTTAGAGTTGTGCTCAGGGTAATTAAAAAAAAAAAATCAAAAGGACTCTGAAAATGTTCCTGCAACAAAGAAATGATTTGTGGGTTATTGTTGGTTAATTTTTAGAACTTTAGATTGGGGGTTTACTTCTGATTGTAGAGGAAAAGGCAGGATACTCAGGCAGGACAGCCCAGGTTCATCACTGGCATTGTGCTAGATGAAAACCTCAAAGTTCTGCACACTTACCAAGGACACACAGAAAGAAGACAGACACAAAAGGTAAGAGTTGACATACTCACACAGAGAGGCTGGCAAGCTTTGCTCTAGTGATAGGCTCACTTAGAAATGCGCACTGGCTGCAACTTTAAATTTGAATCTTTGATGTAGCACGGACGTTTGTTCAGTGGAAATGACTCTGATAATAATGATGGGAACCATGCAGACAAATATTTTGCTGTAGTTTTCTTCTACAAATAGAAGGAATAACAGACTAGCTAACACTTTCTATGTGTCAGGCACTGCTCTCAAGGCACTTCAGCAAGACCGAGTGGTTAAGCAATTTGCTGCAGGTCAACAGCCAGCAGGTGGTGGGCTGGAGTGTATCCAGGACTGCCTCCACAGTCATGCTCTCCACTCTTCCATGTCTCATATGCAAGTAAAAAGAGCATCTCATTTTGTCATTAAAAAAGTAATTTCCTCTGGGTTCTGAAGCCTCTCATTGCCTGTGTGGTCGCCAGTATGTCTGCCTACGTCTTGCCAGTGTCTGTGTGTTTTCTCATGGCTGGGCTCCTTGAGGACAGGGGCTACATCTCACTCAGTGGGTGATACTGATTTAAGTATCGGATGGCTTGAGAGCCCATAACATCATAGCCCATTGCACAGGGCATGATGTTATGGGCTCTCAAGTCATCGGATACTTAAATGAGTCTTAAGCATTTTGGCTCTTCCGATTATGATTCAAGTCTTCATTCATTCATTCATTCATTCATTCATTCATTCATTCATCCATCCAACAATGTCCCTAGTCGTAATGGGGAGAGAAAAAGGCACAGAAACACACGCAAAGACTTGGAGGGGAGGGAGGCAGGCAGAGGATGTACACTTTAGCAATAAGGAGTTCAGTTACACTCCTTCAAGGTGGGCACAAGTGGGAGTTGACACCAGACAGGCAAGAAGAACCCTACATGCCATTCATGCTAAGGACCTAGATTTTATCAAGGAACCAATGAGGCATCTCCACCTCTATTTTCTGATCTCAACTTCTCCCTCTCAAAGTTACCGGAAATAATACAAAAATAATGGAAATTTATATTATTTTGAAAAACTATCCACGGTAGTTGCATCTACCTTTCTGCTTTCAGCAGGGCTAAGAGGGATGCCTCATGGTGAGCTGTGTAACACTGCAAAAACTGCACTAGATATTAGGTTGGTGGAAAAGTAATTGTGGATTACTTTTCCACCAACCTACTACAATGGCCCTGTGACAAAGGCCATGCTGTGTCTCTTTATCCAACTAAGATCCCCTTTCCCCGAGAGATTAACCATAATACTTATTTTGTTTTATGCCAAAAACAAAACAAAACAAGAAATACATTCACAATCTCAGAAAAATGCATGGTGGTAGCTATAGAGACATAAATTATTAATTAATAGTAACCAATTGACTTAGCTCTTATTATCTGTTCAGATTACACTAAACACTTCATGCTATCCTTCAAATACCTCTATAAGGTAGATATTACCATCCCCACTTGATAGATGGGGAAATGGGGGTTCAGAAAAGGTAAGTGACAAAGCAAATCATTACCAGACCAAGTCATTAAACCGAAACCCAATGACTTGGCTCCAAAGACTTTCCACAATGCCACACTGAACTCCTACTCCACAGTTAATAAAACAGTGTTTTCATTCTCAAAGATTCTACATAGCTTTAGAGTTCGAAGAACTATATAGTCAATGTGAGGCTCAGAGGGGTTCCAAGACTCAACCCAAGTCTCATGGCTGGAGAGAGCCAAGACAGGACTAGAACTTGGGTCTCCTGAGCAAGGTCTGGAGTGCTCTTCAAATTCCACATGGCCTCTGTTATAACAGCTTTAAAAATATTAAATCTGCTATAGCAAATCCTACTCATAAGAATCAACTGCAGAAACGGGCTATTTGGTTACACGGATATCAGGTAGGATCAGGGGGGCGTTTAACAGTACTGGGGTTGAGAGATGGAGAATAAACAGATTTCAAGAGAAACGGTTGTAAAAGTGGTAAGAAAACGCCCCAGATGAGCCATTGATAACACATGACAGTAGACTGGAGAAGTGAGAGGAAATGCTAAAGGTTAAAAGGGGAGGGAGGAAGGCATTCTGAAGCGACTCTAGTATCCGGTTATATGTGCGTGGGATAAGGAATGTTATGAGTATTAATCAGTGGATCAAAAGGCCAAGCGACACATGGTGACACAGAAGCTGTAGAATAAAACTACATCAAAAGCTGTGAGAGTAAAAGAAAAGTGACAAGTAGTACAGATAGAAAACTGAAAATCATTCTCCTACCACAGACCTGGAGCCCAGCAGGGAGCAACTGACATTTCACTGAGGATTGGTAAAGAAGCTTTTCAAATGTAAGCTGGACAGTAGTACTCTAGCAGTCTTCACAGCAAACCATTTAGCAAATGGTGACACTACCATCACAGCTACACAAACAAGGAAATAATGAAGCTGACAATGCTTCTTGAAAACTCCAAAGCTCGGGTTGGTAGAGCACACTCTTCCTCAGAGCTTTATTTGCGACACTGTATTCAATAAATTAATTTTGACACTAATTTTCTACTTTCTACTTTCTGATTGTTCTCATTTGTTTCCACTTCATACTATGATTGTTAAAAAGCACTCACATGCAATTGTACACGAAATGAAAATATTTTCCACAGATACAAATTACAGTGAAAGCTCTTATCAGATTTCTAAAGACTATGAAACTATTCTAGTACCTTCTATACCTTGATGTTCTTCTTCTGTAACACTTCCTTTAAACATTTGATATAGATCATGAAGCCAAGATTATGGGGGAAAGAAACCATTGTTTTCAAGGAGATCAAATGAGAGAAAGACCAAAAAAACCGATCTGGTTAAAGAAAAGTGAACATAAAAATGCATACTGTACCTGTAGTCCCAATATATAAATCAGTGTCTTGTTTGTGATGGACAATGGGCCCAGAATTTGTGCCACTTGGACTCTTGGTATGGAGCAGTAAAATGGTACAAACAGAGCAAACACAGGTGCCAGGCTATGCAAACAAATAAAAAAAAATCACTATAATAGTGAATTTTAAACACCAATGGCAGATGTATCTTTGAAGTAACACTGCTTATAATTTTATTTCAGTCTGAAAGCATAGTCTTAGATATACACATTGATTTCCAAATATGCATCATGTCCAAAATAATTTGTACAGAACACTTTATGAAAACTCTAATCATTCTATCCTTACTGACCCTCCTGAAATCACCGCAAAGAAGTGGTTCAGCACCTACTAATTGTGAGAAAAGTGGAGGCAATGTTTTCTTCCCAGGTATTACTAAAATCTAATGAGAAACTAGACAAACCAAAAGCAGCAAACATTAGAATTCTTCCCAGTCAAATCCAAAAGCCTCATCTCAGGCCCTGTCTAGTGATCTGTCACCATGGCTCTGACACGGTTCACCTCTGGCCCTACCTTCCTCACATTCCTTCCTCCCTTTGTCTGAAACCCTGTTTCTCAGTGGTTGACCAGCGATTTCTTACACCACTCTTCTGGCTTCTCCATGGTTCCATTATAGCCTTTTCTTCTTGCTCGCTCATCTCCTCATATAATCTCAACCCTTTCTATAGCTTGGGCTAAGAAAATGAAGTGAGACCTAAAACTGCCTGCCCATTTCTGAATGTCAATTTGACACCTTCACCTTGACAGATTCAAAAGTCCTATGTGTCTTTCTACTTACAGTCTTGCTTCTCTCTGATCCATTTCTTAACATTGTTGGCAGTATTCTCTTCCTAAAACACAACTCTGATCACATCACTCCCTTGCTTAAAAACCCTTCCTTCCGGCTGGGCATGAGCGGTGGCTCATGCCTGTAATCCCAGCACTTTGAGAGGCCAAGGCGGGTGGATCACAAGGTCAGGAGATCGAGACCATCCTGGCTAACATGGTATAACCCCATCTCTACTAAAAATACAAAAAATTAGCCGGGCATAGTGGCGGGCACCTGCAGTCCCAGCTACTACTCGGGAGGCTGAGGCAGGAGAATGGCATGAATCCGAGAGGCAGAGCTTGCAATGAGCCAAGATTGCAACACTGCACTCTAGCCTGGGCGACAGAGCGAGACTGTCTCAAAAACAAAAAACAAAAAACAAAAACAAACAAAAAAAACCTTCCTTCCATAGGCTCCAGTATCCAAAGATATTATGCTTCATAAAGATGTGATGGCAAAGCGCCCCAGTTCGCTCTCATCACTGCAGATTGTTACCACTGTCCTCCTCTCTGCTTCCCCTCATCTGGACCATCACACACAAGGCCCCCTCAAAAATCCACACAGCTGCTCCTTGAATACGCTGGCTGCTTTGACTCTCCACTGATGCAGGTTCTGCTTTCCACTTTCAGTCCTAGGAAACTCAGCTTGTGCAACACTGCTCAGCTCTTCCCACAAGACTTCTCTGACTCCTCCTGGCAGCTGGTGGCTTTCCTCGTGGCCCCCAAGCTATGTCAGTTTCACTGCTGCAATGAATCAGTGAATCAATTGCGTGCCGAGGATGTCACGGCAGGACGCCCGGCATAGGAGCTACAACTATGTCCAAGAGAAAGAAGCAGTCCTTGACCTCAAGGAACTCATCACAGGACTGAAATCTTACATTCCTACAAGTGCTGGGCAGGTAATATGAATGAGTAGAGTGGTTTGGGCACAAACTTGCACCCGTTTTTCATTAAACACTTGGCTTAATTACTCAGTCTGTTTTATTTTCCCACTTTTGGGAAAATGGCACCAGAAAAAAAAGAATTATTTCATTATCACAAGAAAAATGCAAAAAATATGTTTCACTTCTACAAAGAACTGTCCTTGGTGCCATTTTGTGGAAACACAGGACCCTCCTGGCCTCTTGTGCAATATCTCATCCTTGATAGAGACCATGTTATTCTGAAAAATGCACTGTCCTCTCAATTCTACTATTAAAAACAAAATCAAACCAAAATTTAACAAACACAAAACAAACGTGATAAATGGCAGCTGCATCAACAGCTATCAACACAGATGCAGCAAATGCTAGAACAGGGAAAACTCCAGCTGATAAGGCCTCAGCGCAGGCACTGTGTCAGGACTGGAGACACAGAGATGCCAGATACACCTGGCTGGCCATCCAGTGAGAAGGATGGCAGGGACCGGGTGGCAGACGGAGGTGCACATCACAGCAGGCTCCCACCGCCACTTGCCCAGTCTAGAATTCCTCACGTATCAGACCTTCCTCCCAGGCTGAGCACCCCAGGACAGGGAAGAAGAGGCAGTCCTGGTTCTCCTAGCACCTGGCACAATGCTTGGCACAGTTTAGGAGCTCACTACATTTAGGGCCACAAAATAATCCTTATTCTAGAACAACTGTTATGACTCACATTTGAATTGACTATACAGAGTTCTCAAAAACCTCAGATTATTAATTAGGAGAGAAAGCATCATATTTTATCTAGCTTTGCCTAATGCAGATTCTTATACATGATCCATATTCAATATTGGTTGGATTTTTTTAAATTAACAAAGCAGTTTTTAAATACTACACAAAATAACTGCTTTTGTCCAATTACAAACCCAAGCACTATTGATTAAAACAGCTGGGCCTTCTTTTCATGGAAAAGTATGAGTTAGTCACTCCCGGGCATAAATCCTCCAATGCCTCCCCACCTACAGTCATGAAAAAGACGTTCCAGGCCCTGAGTCTCCATCCCCATCCTGATCCTGTGCTCTGCAGGACAGCAACTTCTCAGAGAAGCCCTCCCTGACTGCCCCATTTCAAACCACACCTCCCACCCTCTCAGCCTTCCCCTCTGCATTCTCTACTCTCTTCCTGACTTTCTTCCCCCACAGCACTTACAGCCTTCTCATCACTGCCAGCCATCGTCTATCTTAAAAGTAGAATGGAAGCTTCACACAGACGGGGATTTTGGTCTGTTTTGTTTGCTGTTTTATCCCCACTGTCTAGAATTGTGCCTGGCATACAGTAAGGTTTCAATAAATATTTGCAGAAGAAATGAATTTTCCTTTAAAACAGTAAAATCATACAGCAGAACTTGCCTTTTGTTTTAAAAAGCCCCCTTCCTTTTTATCATTTTTAATGGGATTAAAACATATGGTTTCATATGTAGCTCAAAATATGGTCTGCTCTCTTGGTGATTATGAAACCCTACCTGGGGAGCCAATTGCACCAGAGGTCTCTTACCACAGGACATGCCCTTCGAGTTGCTTAATTCATAGAAGTTCTTCTGTTCACATTTAGTAATAAAGTACAAATAATGATGTTATAACTAAATAATCTAAAGCAGAGTTCTTGTTTGAGGTTACGTTTCAATGTAAACTAAAAAAATACTGGTAGAAATTTTAATGACCACTGTTTACATTTCACATACCAATAGAAGTTTAAAAATTCCTTAAAAAATACTAACCACTGTATAATTTTAAATGATGACTAAATACTAGGCCACATATACACATTTCAGACCAAAACTACACAGGCTGTTCTGTAGAAATTTTCCATTGCTATTTCTATACACACAGACTTCACAAAGTACCATAATGTTATTAGTCATTGACCAGTCTTTTTCTTTTCCTTATTTTATGACAACATCTGTTCTTTATACTGTCAACAGTAATTCAGTTTGACCTTTTTTCATACTGTGAAGAACTACCTTCTGGAAGCCCTTTCTGGCTTAAGCAGATGAGGCTGTAGTACAGAAAAGAGAAAGCAGGTTATAAACATATCATCCATCCTTTCTTTTTTTCTTTTATTTTCTTAAGACAGGGTATCTGTCTGTCACCCAAGCTGGAGTAGAGCGCAGTGGCACAATCACGGCTCACTGTAGCCTCTAATTCCTAATCTTCTCGCCTCAGCCTCCAGAGGAACTGGGACTACAGGTGTGAGCCACCACACCTGGCTAATTTTTAAACTTTTTTTAGAAACAGGGTCTCGCTGTGTTGCCCACACTGATCTCAGTCTCCTGGCATCAGGCAATCCTCCTGACTCAGCCTTCTGAACTGCTGGGATTACAGGTGTGAGCCATTGCTAATTCATCCTTTAATATCACTAATACTTACAGAGCATCTACTGCTACATATTCATGATTGCACTCGATAGAAAACAGAAAATAAAATAACACAGACGCCTGTTCAGGTTGCAAATGTCCATTTCACTTCTTCTACAGAAAAGGTCACTGAATGTGGTGGCTCACACCTGTAATCCTAGCACTTTGGGAAGCCAAGGCAGGCAGATGGCTTGAGCTCAGGAGAGTTTGAGACCAGCCTAGGCAACATAATGAGACCTTGTTTCCACAATAAATAAATAAATAAACAAACAAACAAAAATTAGCTAGATGTGGTGGCATGTGCCTATAGCCCCAGCTACTTAGGAGGCTGAGGTGGGAGGGTCACTTGAGCCCAGGAGGCAGAGGTTGCAGTAAGCCAAGATTGTGCCACTGCATTCCAGCCTGGTCAACAGGGTGAGACCCTGTCTCAAACAAACAAACAAACAAAAAAACAAAAAACTGTAAAGATCAACTCTACTTTTACAGTACAATCGCAACTCAAGAAACCCTGGTAACTTTCAACAGCAATAAAACAAGGTTTGTGAGCTTATGAAATGATCTAATATACAGCTTTAGTGGCCTCTTACAGGATAATGACCCCATCACCTCTTCATCTGTCTGACTACTCTGATATCAAAAAAAAGGGGCTGGGTACGGTGGCTCATGCCTGTAATGCCAGCACTTTGGGAGGCTGAGGCAGGTGGATCATGAGTTCAAGAGATGGAGACTATCCTGGCCAACATGGTAAAACCCTGTCTCTACTAAAAATACAAAAATTAGCTAGGCATGGTGGCGCATGCCTGTAGCCCCAACTACTCAGCAGGCTGAGGCAGGAGAATCACTTGAACCTGGGAGGTGGAGGCTGCAGTGAGCCGAGATCACGCCACTGCACTCCAGCCTGGAGAGAGCGACACTCCAACTAAAAAATAAAAATAAAAAATAAAAAATAAAAATAAAGTAGGGGGACAGATCCAGTTTGTCAGAGGAATTACTTTAACTAGTTGAGTCCTTCACTATATAAAAATGTTTTACTTAATATAACTATTCAAAATTAAAAGCTAAAACCCCACCAGAATGGTCTTTCAACAAACTGAAAAATTTATCAACAGTGCCTTCTTCAAGTACTCTGCAGTCTAAGTTTTGTTTTTTGTTTGTTTGTTTGTTTGTTTGTTTTGAGACGGAGTCTCGCTCTGTCGCCCAGGCTGGAGTACAGTGGTGCGATCTCAGCTCACTGCAAGCTCCGCCTCCTGGGTTCACGCTGTTCTCCTGTCTCAGCCTCCCGAGTAGCTGGGACTACAGGCGCCCACCACCACGCCTGGCTAATTTTTTGTATTTTTAGTAGAGACGGGGTTTCACCGTGTTAGCCAGGATGGTCTCGATCTCCTGTCCTCGTGATCCACCTGCCTTGGCCTCCCAAAGTGCTGGGATTACAGGCGTGACCCACCGCGTCCGGCCTGCAGTCTAAGTTTTAAATGAACTAGTTCTAGAATATGATGTCATGTTTATCCACCAAGTCATAAAACCTCTGTAACACCCCCTCATAGAATTTTTGTAGTAGGAATTACCTTGGAGATCATTTAGTTCAATACCTTTAGTTTATACACAGAGAGGTGGTGGCCCAAAGAATTCAGCTGACTTACTTGATGCTCTTTCTTGTGTCTGACAATGTTTCTCCATACTCTCAGCACTTTAGAGGTTAGAAGAACCTAATGACATCTGTGGGAGGCAAAAGCTACTTGACTATTTTTACAAAATCCTGGAGCAGGAAGGCCTCTGAGGTCACAGAGTTACAAATTCCTATCAAATGATTCAATTCTGTCTACATCATCCCTCAAAATCAACATCAAGTTTACACAAGCATCTAAATAAGAAACAGCATACTCCATTTTTTAAAATAATCACAACTTTTGGGAATGACTCTCATCTTCTGATCCGAAAGCTATCTCCAGTAACTTCTTACTCCCGCTAGTCTCTGGAGTTAGGAAGACTGACATAAGCAATGTAAACACTTTTCTATGAGAGTTTCCACAAGCATAAGGATAATGACCCTAGGCCTACAAAGCATACACATCCCCAGCTTATTTAATCAGTTCTCCTAAGACCTGCTATTCAGGCCCCTCACTGCCACAGCTGTCATCTACGTCATTCGTAAAATGCAGCACCCAGAAGTGGCTGGGAATGGCCAGATCAGTCCTGACTAAGTGTAAAATCACCTCTCCTGATCTGAGTGCTGCATATCTGGTAATTTAGCCTACAAATAAACTGCATTCTGACAGATATGTTATGCTGTTGGTTTCAACTGGGTCAACTAAAACTATGAGGTGAATGGCGTAAGTCTCTTTCATCCTGTGTTGAAGAGGCTGGATTTTATCTATAGTGGGCTTCCCTTCAACTATTTCCCCGTTATTCAAGTACTCGCGAAGTCACTGACTCAGGCAGCCTCTCGACTGAAAACGGCGACTAATTCTGTTCACTCCACATCCTGGACTGTCATTCTCCCTCACACCACAGAAATCTGTTTCTTTCTCATAAGCTGTGGATAAGGTGGAATGTGTAAACTACTCCCTGATACCAAGTTTCCAGGTAAAAAGCACTGTCAAAGTTGACATTGTTTTCCTTAAAACATTAAAAAACCCACACGTTTACATAGAAAATCAATATAAAATCATCAGTAACTTGGTCCTTTTTTTTTTGGTTAAGGTTTATTGCTTCAGTCTCTTTCAAAGAATTTTTTGATACTTAAACCTTTACAGAAAAATTTATAAAGTTCCACAGGTATCAACAATTCATAAATTCCAAGGGGCTTTTGGATAGTCGTTTTTTGTTTTTTTTAAATAACTATAAAAAATTTCACTTCCCATTTAAAACAAACAAAAAAAAAGTGCACACACGTACACGAGACGAACTGCTCATTACATGCTCAGTCACAGGGTGACAGAAAAAAAAAAGTCACCACCATAAAAGGATGTCTGCATAGCCTCTCTTAAAACAACATGCCACAGTTAACTTACTTCAGTTTGGACAAGTACTGACAGCTACTACACAGAGATCCGCACGAGTCACTGATATGTAAGTACGAGATCCTTTGCTTTTTCAACAAATTTTTTTAAGAAAAACTTTAAAAGCCTAAGTTTTAAGTTAAAGGTAAAAAGGAAAAGAATCTATTTAAGAACAAGCTACCATCACTTCTAACAAAAATTATACTAATAATGTAAGTTTAGACTCTCTGCTGACTGGTAGGTCTAGTTAGTTCTTACAAAGCTGAGTGAAAGCGATGGGTCCGCCAGAAATATCTTTGTTAAAAAATAGGGCTTACTTCATGTACTACTGTATAAACTCACAATGACAAAAAACAGCATCAAGCAAAACTATGCAAATAATGCCAATATTTCAGGATAACTTAGTATGAAGGAAAAGGAACAAAGTTATTTTAATATAGAATATTCCTACACTATAGGAATTATTAGAAATATAAGATTATTTCTCAGGATGGAATCTCAGTGGTAGAATTCCTAGGGCAAAGGATATATTTTCTAAAGCTTTAGATATAAAATGGTACTTTTTGGTTTACAAAAACATTTTACCAATTTACCCTCCCACCAGCAAAGAGTACCAATCTTTGCTTTTTAAATGCTAAATACTACTAATTAGATAAGTGGAAAAAAAAAGTCTGTTGTGTGGTTTATATTTACGTTTAGTTAGACTAAACATATCTTTTCTATGTGCTTGGGGGGGAAAATCAAAATGAATTCTATGCAGTGCTTTGGCAACATTTATGTCCAGGTTGGGAATGGTGGTAACAGAAACTTGGCAACATAGAAGCTGTGAAGAGACTTCCTTTAAAGGGGGGTGAGGGTTTTGTATATGTGTATTTGTGTGTGTGCTGGGGGAGGGGGAGTAGTATTTTGGTTTTTTGGTGTCACTCTGAATACAATATAGCGTAATAAGAGCAAGGGTTCTAAAATTAGGCTCAAATGTAATTTACAAGCTGTGTGGCCCACCACGCAAGTTACCTAATACCTGACTTCAGCTGCTTTACCTGTAAAATGGGGAGTATTATTACTGCCAAGTCCTTACAACATTGCCTCTCAATATAAGTGCTAAGAAACTGTCTCCTACAGTTCTTCTCCCATCCCTCTGGCCACTGACGTACCAGAGGGAGAATCCAACAGATATGTTACGGATATTTTACATAAAGACCCTGAATCTGGCTGGGCATGATGGCTCACTCCTATAATCCCAGCACTTTGGGAGGCTGAGGCAGGCGGATCACCTGAGGTCAGGAGTTCGAGACCAGCCTGGCCAATATGGTGAAACTCCATCTGTACTAAAAATATAAAAGTTAGCCAGGCATGGTGGCACTCACTTATAATCCCAGCTACTTTGGGAGGCTGAGGCAAGAGAATCCCTTGACCTGGGAGGTGGAGGTTACAGTGAGCCGAGATTGTGCCACTGCACTCCAGCCTGGGCGACAGTGCGAGACTCTGTCTCGATAAATAAATAAAATAAATGGCCCTGAGTCTATGGATGATCACACATCTAACTGTGCTTACTGGTAGGACTCCACACTTCTTATATTTTAGCATGTTTTCTCTCTGGGGGCTCACTGCACTTTTTGGACATAAAACCACAAAAAATATGCTACTCCACAAAATGTTCACTCACATGTTTATGTATCATGTCAGTGATAATGGTGATGATCCCCTGCATAAATTGCTTTCATCTGGCTTCCTAGAGCTAATTAGTATCATGATCAGTCACTTAATGGAATAAATATTAACTCAGGTTGCTATATGACTTTAATTCATTTATTTATTCTATAGATATTTACTAGATATCTATTGTAGGTTGGTTCTGTAGCATTCTATGGGATAAAATGTTAGATGAAATCAAGTCATCATCCTTAAGAAGCTTAAGAGCTTCGCACCTAACAAAGCCGTTTACAGGGATGCTTTTCTCTCTGTTATGGTTAAGACCTGCTGGAGTTGTTAGGCAGTCCTGGACGTGGCCTGTGTAGAGGACATGTGGTGTCCTCCGGTCTGGGGGGTTGATCACCTTCCCAAGAAGTCTGGGTATCGTATAAAATGAGATAACGCAGGTGAAAATCCTCTGAAAGCTGTGACAGTAACACAGATGCCTGTGGTGTTTTGGAAGCCCAAAGAGAAGAATAAAAATGTTTTGTTAAGTCTCTGCAAATATCTAAAAAGTAGTTTAAAAATCAATTAACAGGATAAAAGCCTATTCTAGGTATTCACCATATTTTTTCAATTGAAATTTCAGTCTAAATTGCTTTATTATTAAAATATTGTTGAAACAGTAAAGTCTAAATCCATTTATAAAATCTTTACTTACTTTAAAATATGCTACAAATAAACTAATAAACTCCTTCATTTGAATCAACGTCTCTTTCTCCCTGCCCCCATTCCCTTCCCCAGCTCTCCCAGTCTTTCTTGTTCAGATAGGTATGAGTTAGTGTACATTAAGGTTTTGAGATGCCTTCCTATTTTACTTGTTTTCTACCCATAATAACAGATCATGTCGGACACAGGACATAAACTGTATTGTACTGAATGTAACTTCTGAAGCCAAACTGCCTGGATCTGAATCCTGACACTTAACAGCTAGGTCTTTAGTCACTTAAGTGCCCTGGTGCCTCCGTTTCACCATCTGTCAATGGACTTGTGAAAGTTCTGAGAGGATTCAATGAGTAAACACACATAGAGTGCCCAGGGCAGTACCTGGAACACAGTCTCTGCTTAGTAATTTTGGTGATTATTATTCATCAAGGGCTTACTGTAGTGTAATAAAGAATCTTTCATTAAGGATTAAGAAAGCTGCAATGTTCCTATTCTTTAATGGGTATTTATTGAATATCGATCATACATCACCTAGAGATACAAGAAATTAACACCACAGGATTCCCACTCATCGTACTTCACAGGCTCATGGGAGACAGGGAAGAAAATCAATGATACAGACACTATGACAGAGCACAGCACCCTCACAAATACAGCCACCCTGCCCTTCAGAGGATGGAGAACAGGAACACTCCTGCGATACTTAGAACTAAGCCTGGAAGGAAAGTAGGAGCTGAGGATACAGGACAGGGGCCAGGAGACATCAGACAGAGGGAAGAGTGTTACCAGGCACAGAGTTGTGAGGGAACGTGGGACATCCAAAGGTTATAAGTAATTTTGTATGGCTGGAGCCAGGGCACGATCAGGAGAAGCTGGCCAGCAACCCTCCTGAAGAGGGAACGGAGCTCAAATCATGAGGGAACTTGTGAGTCATGACACAGAGCTTGTGGTTTGCCTGGGGTTGGATGGGCCCCGTTTGAGAGCCTGGCGGGAAGCTGCTGCCGTGGCTGTGGGCAGAAGGGCGGGAATGGTACCCAACAGGCAGACGGACAGACACGGATGTGCAGCAGAGTACAGGCTGAGGCACAGGGGCTGCTCGCTGACTAGTGGCAGCAGGTGATGGAGAACATGGAGTCCCGGGCGCCTTCATGAACCCTGCCTTAAGTACCCCAGTAAGATCCCTGAGCGAATGACTGAGTTGATCTGGAATTTGGTTTATCCATAAAATAACGATATCTAACGTTCCTCCCTAATTTCCACGTGATAATAGAGACAAAAACAAAATTGAAACTCCTTGAACTTGAAAGAGAAAAGGTACATATGATTTCCAGAAACATTCAGGACTCAGCGGAGAAATATTAAAGACACAGAGCTTCATTATAAAGAGCCTTTTTATATCATGCAGTTAGTTTTCCCACATGTTGCATCCTACAGACCATGCCAGAGAGAAACACAGAATATCTTTCTTACACTAAAATGAGTATTACGGTGGGATTCTTAGTTTCGTAGTTCTCTAAACATATGTCATCTTCATCTTCAATAACTTCCATACTTTTAAGTATAAAAGCCACCAAAAGCCACACAGGTGGCTTTTACTAGTGAAAGGTGAAAGAAAATAACTGGAATATGTGAAACCCCAAATACGCAAGTGGGTGTTCAACCAAAGAATTCCTGTGCTCAAGCACCTTTCCATCACTTCCAAGGAACGCGTCTATGAAGCTGAAGTGGGTCTTCACTGCACATTCACTGGGTTCGGGACACATATAAAGCACAAAGAGGAAACAGTAGACTGCTAAACACTTTTTCTGTCTTGAAGAGGTTTTTCTGTCTTGAAGAAGGTCTCTGTGCTTGGTCCTGTAAATAGCCTTTTGCAGATCTGGTCTGACCCAGGCTATGCAATGGGGTCAGCAGGCCGGTCACAGAGCTCCTCAGTAAGGCTGCCTCTACTAAGTCCCTCGGCTAGTCACACTCCATAAGCCCCCCAGGAGGCAGGGGAGGTCCCCCAAACAGATGGACCACAGTCAACTCTATGCTGAATATCACTCTGGTATGCGTGATTTTTTGAAAGGATATAGGGAATATTGTTCTCAATCCTTCTAAAAAATGAATCATGGACCCAGACATAGCTATCAATTTAGGACTCAAAGTTGGCTGGGAAAAAGTCACCTTACATTGTACAAAGATGTATTTAACCAGGCCACAGAGGCATGTACTGACTACTATGACAGTTGGTTCGCAGTGTATTATTAACAGAATGGACAATCTGACTTTACTAATGAAGCACCAGGAGGCTCTGACTATGCTGGTCACATTTCCACAGCAGTGCAGGTTCCTCTTGCATACTAGGAATGCATGTTTCCCACTGTCCATTTTACAGGCAAATGGCCCCCATAATATCTCAGACGATGGCTGTTTGGTCAGTGAAAAAGGTGGCAAGAAAAATCACTAATTGAATGCTAGGACCCAGTATGTGTGACACTGGGGCAAATTTAGATGTCCCTGTTTGAACAAGAAGGTGTTTTCAAATAATTGACAAATACTTATAAAACCAGGTAACCAGAGGAAGAAGTAATGATTTCTTTCTTCTGTGGAGCAGGTTTATTCTCAAGGGAGTTGAAACAGTCCTGGCCTGCCGTCTGATACATCTGTGCTTGTCGTTATTTCCTCAGTAGAACCATATCCTTATAATTTCAATTAACCCCGAGCTTTCGT